ATATTATTAAATAAATAACTTTTATATATCAAAGAACATCTTAGTAATTAAAATTTTGAGATAAATAAAGAGAGGTTTATAATAAAAAGAATTATTTTTTGTTATATAATTTATTATTTAACATATTAAAATAAATAAATACATAAATAACTCATACAATATTATAAATAGACCTTTAAATAAAAAAAATTAATTATATCATGACACAACTTGATAATAAATTTACGATTTTAATCTAGATTGACATAACCAATCAAAATCACAACCAAATTTATTTATTTATTTTTTTTTTGAAAGGCAAAGATAATTTATTTTTATTATTTTTTATGAACAAATAAGAGATACTCTTATTCAAATTTAATAAGTTTGATCTATGTCTATAATTTTTTATGAGTTTGAATTGATAAAACCATTGTGAAAAAAGTTTATACTAAATCAAATAAAAAAAAAAGGGAAAATCATAATATCATAACCAATAACAATTATTAAATATGTGAGATATATAATGTGTTTAAGTTAGGGGTAGGCGTCGGGCGGGTCGGTGAACAAATCGATCATTTTCAATAAGTAACCAATTTTTTAATTAATTATTTTAATAATCACAAACCGAACCAAAATAGAGTGGTTTTTATTGATTTAATCATATTTTTTTCCAATTTCATCGGTTCGGATCGGTTTTAACTTGCATATCTCTGTAGCTTTATTTCAATTTTAAATCCCTCTTTCCAATTAGAGTTTCATTCTGCATTTTTATGGCGAAAATCTTGAAAGGAGAACAAATTGAAAGAATTGATAAAGTTTCCCAAAAGGTGAAACGAAATTGCAGGAGGTGATGGAGCTTCCCAAAAGCTGAACGGTACAGTCGGCAACAATTGAAAATAAATATTCAATGGGTGTCGGTTTTATGAGACTATTACGCGGTCTCGTGGTTTCAAAGTGTAACAACCGTTTACTGCCTGTTGTGCTACGGTTTTCAGGACGCAAGCTGGTATGCTCCAGCCTGAAGCCATCAAGGCCGGACCCGTATGTAATTTTGTGGGCGGTTTCGGTGTGGAACCGCGGCCCTACAGCAAAAAACCCAGCCCTAGTTTAAGTTATATATATCTCATTTATTATGTAATTATTATTAAATGTTAAATATCCAAATATCTTAGGTTTTTAATGTCAAAACCTGAAAATGACTTGACTGAATTCTGAAAACCACTAGTTATGGTGAAAAATTGACTAGGACACAATTAGACAAAAGCTCGGGAAAAAAAAATAGCAAATTAGAAAGAGCCGACAAGGACAACAGCTCTTCCATCAAAAAATTGCAGTGACAAACAAATTCATAGTAGTATCAGGGGTACTCATGTCCGTGAGAGATAAGAGTTTTCTGCTTTCGAAATTTGGTAGCAAATCAAACAATAAATCGACATTAGTTCGTGTACTTGTAGTTAAATAATGTCTTGAGTTACGGTTTTGTAATATGTAGACAAAACTGTCAATATGGTCCCTCCATTCATCTTTCTATTGCAACAAATAGGTCCTTGATAAGTAGGAGAGATGTGTAATTTGTGACCATTAATTTCCATTTGGCTTCTGGGACAATATTATGGCTATATTGAACGACAAGCAAAAGACATGATGGGAAATCTGCAATTGATTGCATTCTGTTATACGAGCTTTAACATTGCCCCTCAAATTAAGGAAATTGCATGGAACTTTTTAGACGATGATCATTTATCTAGCCATCTAGCTAGGAAACTGTTGCTTTTCTAAAGATGCAAACTCAGTTTCGTTCTCATTGCATATTTTGCTTATGTTAAATGTTAACATAAAGGGAAGGTTCAAGTGCAAGAACAGAGTCTAGCGCAAATAGAAGCAGGATGTGTGATTGAGGAATTTAATCGAACATGTATCGGGCAAGAACAGAAGCAAAACTTAGCACTCATGTATTCTTTTAAATTTGATCTCTGCTAGATCACTATTTAGTATCTTACTTGAGTACATATCCATCAATCAAGATATTCGATTGTTTCACCATTTATCTGATGCATATTAGGCTTAAAATGGGATGATCAATTAGAATAGTTGAGGGGAAATAATTGAAGGGGACCATGTGGTTTGTTGTAGGAGAAGGGTTATTAGGGCATGTGAAGGCCTTGTTTACAGGCCCCCCACTCCACCCATGACCCACCTTCGGAGAAGAGGACTGTAGGACTAATAAAGGGGACCATTTTGCGTCCCCAGTCCTATGGTGACAAGTAACATGACGCTCACGTTCCTCTTACGTAATAGACAACCACAGACCATTTGCTCCCCTTTCTTCAATATCGCAGCATCGTAGGACCCTCTCCAACATTCCCCTTTTGTCTCTGTTGAAGTATGCTTTCTTTGTAATTGTGAAGAATTAGAGTTTTACAAGGAAGAAATGTGAAAAAAAAAAGATTTAAATATATTAAAACTCATATAATTATTGGACTAATTTTTTAATTGTAATGTGGTATTAAAACATATAAATGGTCACTTAACGTTTCGAGTTAAGCTGTGTATTCCCCCAATAAATGGTATCAAAATCAATGATATGTATGTCAAAATAAAAAAAAAAAATGTGAACTCTTACAAATGTTAAAGTATATTTCATTTGTCAAGATTCATATAACTATTAAATTAGTTTTTTAATTATAATACAATGTTAAAATACGTGAATGGCCACTCAACATCTCCCAATTAGGTCATCTGTCTTCCCAACAATCTCTTCCCTGACATATATTATGTCCAATTCAACCCTAAGGTCAACGAAGACTACACCTTTTCCCTACCTAAGGTGGGCATGTCAAAATTAAACTGAGTCAACTGAAATACCAAATCTTCAAACTAATTGGTTGATTGATTCAGTTTCAAAACAAAGAATGAGTATAGGAAATTTTTGGTTGACAAATAAGCAAATGTTAATTTCCTAGGAGGCATGCCGACGGCGGACGCGGTCACCTGCCGGCTTTCTCAACAAATTTTTGCACTTTTTCCCCGTTCTGCTTGGGTTATACATTTGGGAGTCAATATTGCACACGAAACGAAATCTATTTTCTCTATGGTCTAATAAAAAACAAACTATAAGGTTAGAGAAACCAGGGGATAAGTGACGGCCTTACCGACAGGTCAATCTCTTAAAATTTCTTTTGAACAGCATTACGTACCGATTATATATATTTTGTTGCGAGTGCAATGACACAAGGTGTAGACAATGACATACGTAGTCAATGTATATCATTTATGCCAATCTTAAATCGTGTATGAACGCGGTGTACCGTGTTTGCACCTTAAAATTTTGTCTTGTTGATATATGGGCCTCGAGATGGTAACGTAAGCATGTAGTGTGCCTCATTCTCACATCGAAGATGCCCCTATCTCTTCCCCTTTGGCCCTTTCGAATTATATTTGGTTCTCCATTAATCTCAACCAAGCCAACACAAGGTAACTAATTGATAATAAGTGAAGTTATAAACTTAATGTGAGATTTTCTTACTCAATACAACATCTCTCACATGCATGTATGTGAATTTTAATATAAAATTTGTATTTAATTTAAAATCAATTGATAATAAATTAAATAATTTTTATTGTATTTAACATACATATTTATTTATTATATACTTAACGTGAAATTTTTTTACTTAACATGTTTATTCACTATTCTCAATAGTTTAATTAGTTTGAGGAAAATAAAATACAAGGGGGAGGAAGAAAATTTTTTTGTTCAATCTAATTAAGATTTTAACTCAACATAAATATATATATATTTATATTTAAATTACTTTCTATTGATTTTAAAGTTTAGATTTAAAATTTTCAATATAAAAACTTAATTTTTTAACTATTAAAATCTCTCTTAAGAAATTACATGCATATAGTACTTTATTTTGATTGCGATTTTTCACGAGGTTAATGCATGGATGTAGGACGGCCGGGGGTTAATTGTGATGGTATGTTATTGACCTATGGTTGAAGACTATGCCTATAATAGGGCAGGGACATAGAGCCTCAAACTAAAATGGCCCAAGAGAGGTTATTTTCATTACCAACTCGATGTTGGAATGTTGACGATTAGGGGACGGAGAGTTGCCAGGTGGAGTTTAGGATTTTTTTTTATTTTTATTTTTTTTGAAAATAGGCAATGGAAGTTGGAGTTAGAATTGGAATTCGGAACCAAGCAAACTTGCTGGGTTCTTCTTTTTTTTTTTTTCTTTTTTTCTTTTTTTCTTTTATCAACCAAATGAAAATTTAATTATTTCAAAATATAAAAAATACTTTTACCTTTACGTACATCACTCACATCATACTTAATCAAAAATCTCAATCCCCGTTTTACATATTAAGGGATACAAGATTAAGTTTTATCGGTATAAAAATTTAAGAACCAACACCAATCCCCGTAACTGAATACAGCAGACTTTGATTTCCTTTTTATCCAACCAAAAGTAATTACTTGTACTAAATAAAAAATATTACATTTGTCCCAAGATAGACTATTAAACACAATATCATTTCTATAGTACCAAATGATCCAAGCTGTGGCGACAATAGTGAGATCCCCATTAGTTGTCATCCTTATGCGAACAAAGCTGTAGGAGAAGGGAGGCGTTATCAATGGGAGTAAAAGAAATCCAAAACCAGTACTTGCTAGGTTCTAGTTGAAAGAGTTTCAAAAATAATACAATTATAAAATTGTGTGGTTTTACGAATTTATAATTATGATATCTAATTATATTATTAATTTTTTTATTTAGAAGTCAGCCATAATATTATATATATCTACTAATTTAATAATATTTCATAATAATAAATTTAAAATAAAATAAAATAAAAAACTTAAAATCTTAATTCTTATGTAGCATTGTTTGTGACTATGGTTGCATTTCAAATTATTGTGAGATGCTTTTGTGATTATAATTATGATTGTAACTGTACTAAACTATGTTATATTATAATTGTAGCT